ACGTCCTTCCCTGATGCCACCAAGGACAACGGCATGATAGGGAGCTGCTCAGCTGCTCCATCCCCATCCAGGTGGGAAGGGGACAGCCAGGGAAGTTGGGTACCAGCCCCACAGGCTCACCATCTGCATTTTTGGCAGCATCACTGGTGCAGTGGGCTGGGGAGGAAGGAGCCCTCCTGCAACCCTCTGACCTTTCTCCAACCACCCTTCCAGTGGCTGCAATATTACAGCGAAATTAGCGGGCACTGTAATTACAACTATCAGGAGCAGATAAGACAAGTTAAATACCAGCTACCTAGGGAGAAATTATTATGCCAGCCAGGAGGATCCAAATGCCAGAATCCGTGGCTGTAATTTCCCTGAGTCGCCAATTACAGCTCTGCCACGCAGCGAGCTCTACCTTGGAAACGGCAGGTATATATTTAGCTGCTCCAGAAAACTTTTTGGGGAGGAGAGGAGGGGGGGAAGGAAGGGGCAGCCATGGAGCAAGTCCTCACTAATCTGCTCTGCGCTAATCCCCACGCTTTTAGCATTTGCACACAAAGAGCRGTGACTCTCTTCCCGCTCCCCAGCAAGGATTTAACAGCAGAGACGTGGCTGCATTAACGCTTCTCTTCTCTGCCGGGCCCCTGGCCGCTGTTGCAGGGCGGCAGGTGAGTGTCACAACCCCCATTAACAGATAGGTACACAGAATATCAGCGGTTTGACTGAAAAAAGAGGCCAAAAAAATGTGATTTCCTGACTTCCCAGACCTATGCCTGGAGACTGTGGTCCTGCTGCCTGTTCCTGCTGGTTTTATTTTACTGAGGTCTCATCGTGTGCTGGGAAATAGACTGCGGTAGGTTATTACTCCAAAAGAAAAAAAAAAAGAAGAATCAAAGCACCATTGTCAGAAATAATTAAAACTATAATTGCAAAAATAAATGGAAGAACAGCATCTCATGATGTTGTATTCGGGCTTTTTATTTTTAATTGGAATTGTTCTCACACTCGCTAATTGACGGAACACAGCCAGGCACGGAGTCTGGGATGCGAATGAGCAAAGCTATGCTGACTTCTTGGTCTCCTTCGTGGACAGGCAGTGCAAGAGGCCAGGGGTTCACCAGAAGCAGGCAAGCCCAGGGGATTTGATTGGAAAATTTGCCCATATACACAGAGATAAAGCATCTCTGTATTATTTGGTTTGGAAAAAAGCCTAGTTACATCTGCCTTAGCACCATCTATGAGCACCCATTCCTCTAGTTATCACTGACAAATCACCGCTGCTGGGTCATTTTACAGATGGGGAAACTGAGGCCGAGAGTAACAGAGAGATTTCCTCAAGTCCTGGTGTCCCTGTGGTGACAGCCATGGAGAAAACTCAGCACACCCCATCTCCAAACCATTCCTTCCAGCCACTGGAACACACTCTCCCTTAAAAAAAAAAACCCAACAACACTTCTTAAATACAGATAAAACTATCAAGCCTTGAAATTCTGAGCAGCTGGTGGTTTCTGTGTGCATGAACTGCACTGATGGCTGTCACAAAGATTGGTCTGCTCGTGGCACAGAGGGACGATCCCATTCCCATCCTCATTTCAGCACTGTGGGAATATTTGCCACAGTTTCCCCTCTGTTTCATGCACAGATGCTTCCACCACAGTGATGCAGCTGGGATAAAACCCAGCCAAGGTTTCCAGCAGGATGAACCCATTGGGATGGYCATCCATGACCTGACAGCAAATCCAGGGTGTGCATCTGACAGGCGGCATGTGGAGAAAGCCAAAACTCAATGGCACTCTTCCCAAAAGCAGGAACTTCATCTTTTTTTCCACATCAAACTCCAGCTGGGAGGTTCAAAAGTGACCATCTCCAACCAGTGTGCTCCTTGTTCCATTTTGTGTCCCAAACTTGCGGGTAACATGAGTTACTGCTGCCATCTCAACACCCAAATTTTGTGTTCCTGAGTCAGGAAAGAGGCAGCTTGGTTTTATTTTTAACACCACACAGAGAATTTCCACACTGCCTGGAGTTCCCCGGAGAGGAGAGGTGSCTGAGTATTGTGGGAATTGTTTGCTCTTGCAATAAAAAGGAGTGAATTACCAACAATCTCTGCTTAAAACGGAAATTATTTGTTGCTGATCTAAGATGACCTGCAAGTTGCCTGTAGATGGAGCCTGAGTTTCTGCAAGGATTATGCTGAGCCTCCCTCGGAAAAAGGGTGGAGAGCTGGAAATGGAAGCACCCAAAATCCAATACAGGAAACCCACAAGCAGCCTGAAAAGCCTCCAGGTTTCCTCCACTGCTTTCAATCTGGTCTGCTCTCTCTCCCAGCTCCTTTCTGCAGWGCAAGGGGTGGATAATGAGCTGATCTTGGAAAGCAAAGAGCTTYCACCAATGCTGCAGGAGCCAGGGAGATGTGCAGGCTCAGCCCATCTCATGACCAGGATGAGGGAGAGGACCTGGCCCCTCAGACCCATCAGGAYTGGGGCTAATTCTGCAAGAGCTACACCCTGGAATTGTGGCTCTCAGTTTTTCCAAGCCCAACTCTGGTTTGAACCCCCCAAAAAAGTATCATTTGCAGGGAGGAAAGCAGAGGACACCACCACCACCTCCTCCTGTGGGTGACAGAAGCAAACACAATTTAGCAATAACACCATCCACTGGGAAAGACTTCCCTGGGCACTTTTCCCTGCCTGGCTCTCCACAGGATTGCACAGCCTGCAAATAAACATCAGCCCCATCCTCGAGATGTTCCATATTTGTCCTCCTGTCCTTCAACCCACGACTGATGTGACCTCTTTGGCTTGCTGACTATCCAATTTGGCAATTCTCTGTCCACCTCCAGAATCCAGGGGAAGATGGAAAACTGCTGGTCACCCAGAGGATGTGGAGGGGCAGCAGCTGGGAAACAGGGAGAGGAGAGAAGAGAAGAGAAGGGAAGAGAAGGATCACTGGGAAACAGGAATGCAAGAAAACATGGGGCAGACTGGAAGCAAATGGGAGCTGCAGGCAGAAACCTGCCTGAAGGAGGTGAAAGCTGGACTTGAAAAGGAGAAAGGAGGGGATAAAAGCATGGAGAAGGTGCACTGGAGAGCCTGGGCAGGAGCAGATRCCAAGGAGGGAAATGGGTAAAACCAGGTGCTTTTGGGGCAGGGGCATCCTCCAAAGTGTCAGCATTTGGGGGATAAAGAATATCTTATGGGAAGGCTAAGATCTCCCACCACTCCGGGGCTGCTTCACAAACATCCCCCCACTGCAAACAGCACAGAAAAGAGGCCAGAGGCTTAGAAATAAAAAAGGAAAAGAAAAAAAAAATAAAAAAGGAGATCCAAGTCAGCCCTCTGCTGGCAGCAGGCACGGCTGGACTTGGCAGGGGCTCCCCAGGGAGCAGGCACAGGCACCCATCCTGCTCTGACCTCCACCAGCATCGCCTCTGAGAGCCCCAAAGCCTGCACTTCACCACGGAGACAAATTCCAACAGCGAGGAAAGGAGCACCAGGGCCAAAGGCACCTCTCTGGGGCATTGTCCTTCTTTAAACTGCCTTGCTCACACAGCTCAGGTTAATCATCATTGCAGTTCAATTAGGAACACACAGAGAGACAGAGCCCTCTGCTCTCCAGCTGTGCCACAGCCCCCAGGGTCACGGGGCAATGACAAGTGTGTCCCAGCGGGTCCCTGGCACGGATGTGCCCGGCACAGGCAACATCCCAAAGTCAGGCAGTGGCCGTGGCACGAAGAGGGCACACAGGCGACCACCGCCTCTCTGAGCAGCAAGGAACCCACAGAGCCTCCAGCCAGAGCCCGATTCCCACCAGCACCAAGCGTTTCCCCTTCCAAAGCCCAGCTCGGGCACAGAAAACCTTCCCGGGCACCAGGTGAGCGCAGCACCCTCTGCTCACAGCAGCACCAGCTCGGCTGCTCACGGAGAGCGTGACCGGCTCCGCTTGTGCCACCGCCGTGCGTGGCTTGGGGAAGAGCAGCTGCTCTGCTGCAAATCCTGCAGGTCTGAGCGAGGGAGCAGCCAGCCTCGGGCGGGGGGCACACTCTGCTCGCTGCTGCAGGGAGAGCACACAAACTCCTCTTGCTCCACGCTCACGTCCCAGCATCCCCACGCTCCTTTTCCTGAGTCCCACGGCTCCCGGATTAACCGGCTCGGGTCCTGCCGGGGCTGCCTGAAGCACGCACAGCACGACCCAGAGCCCCAGCCACGCTCTGCCTCCCCAGCGCCCTCCAAAAAAAAAAAAAAAAAAAAAAAAGGCTGCGCTGCTCTCTGCTCATCCGCCCCGCTGCTGCTGTGCCTGTGGAGAGCTGCCGCGCTACCTGGGCAATGCAGCGCGTACACCTGTAACTCATTCAGGCAACGAAAGGGATGCTCTGCTGTGCTTTGAGGCGCAGGAGTGACCCATCTGCATATCAGCCGCCCGTGCCTCTCCGACAGCAAACAATGTAAGGGAAAGCATCCATCAGAATTCATAAGATGCACCCCTGGAGTAAAAAGATTGATTTGATATTAACGGGTTCGTGCGGAGACTATAAAGCGATCGAGGCGAACGCTGACACCTCGGAGGGATCGCAGCCCTGGCAAGCCGCTGGCAGTGCGGGCTGGCCCCGGTGCCAGGAGCACGGACCCCCGTCCCCTCCAACGCGGGCACAACTTCGGGAGTGCCAGGCAGCGCTAACTCGCTGTCTGCCACCTAAACCCCGGTCGTGGCTCCTCGTCTGGCGCCCGCAGCCCGCCCAGGAGCTTCCCAGCCCCGCGCTGCAGCCCGAAAAGCACCGGCGCATCCGTCCCTCCAAAACCGCTCCAGAGGGGTGACACCGTCCCTCCACCGCCACGGGGACGAGCCGCCACCCGCAGCGTCCCCTGCCGCGATGGGGACAAGCCCCTGGGACACGTGCGAAGTCTCCCGCTGGTCCCAGGACCCTCCGGCAGCCCCGCTGGGCACAGAGCGCTCCCCCAAAAGCCGCAATCAGGACCCCCCCGAGCCCCCCCAGGCCCAAGTCCAGCTGCTCCTACCTGAGCGTGGCGCTCTCCCCTTGCCGCACTGTCACGTTGTCCATGGCTTTGGGGAAGGTGGCATCTCCGCTGCGCACGGGCACTCCTGCGGGCACAAGGAAGAGCAGCCTGAGACAGAGGACGACCAGGCACCTCCAGGGCAGGGCCAAGCACCCACCGACCCCCATCCTGGGCAGCGGGGACTTTTCCAACAGGCAAAAAACACACCCGACAAGGCGAAAAGGGGGAAGGGGTGGGTGGAGAGGAGGGATGGGGGGGAGCAAAACCACCGGGGCGAGCGCTGCGGAGCTCCACGGAGATCAGGAGAGCCCCCGGCAAGGCTGGCTGCGAGCGCTGAGCCTGCCGAGCGGCATCGGAGGGAGTCCCGCTGTCCTCGGGCGAGGGAGGAGGACGGGAGGGCCGGGGGGAGGAGGAGGAAGAGGAGGAGAGAAGGTGCGGAGCACGAGATGAAGGTCACAGATGTGTGGCTGCTGGAGACGCTACTTTCAGCTGCAGCTGGGCAGGCGCTGCGGAGATCTGGCATCAAAAGTTTATAACCCACGGAGGAAACGTGAGTGTCTGTGAGAGGAAGGGGAGGGCGGCATCGGCACCGGGCGGGGGCACAGCGGGCCGGGGCTGGGCTGTTCGCCGGCTCTTACGCTTTTGTTTAAATCATCGGGGGAAAGGAGAATTTTTAAAAAATACAARRAAAAAAAWWRGAAAAACAATAAAGCTCCCCAAAATCCCGGTTCTGTCGCAAGATCGAAACTTCCCCGCGGAGCTGCAGGCGATGTCCTCCCGAGGTTCTGCCCAGAGGGTCCCGGAGCCCCCGCGGGGTCGGCGGCTGCTCCGGTGCGGTTCAGGAGCGCAGCGGGGCGCGGGGGGCGCGGGGGGGCGGCGGCGGCAGCACCCCGGCCCCGGCCGGCAGCATCCCCGGGGTTGTCATGGCAGCGGCTCCAGCGCTGCCCGGCGCCTCGGCTCCCGCACGGCCCGAGCCCCGCACACGGGCGGGCGGGCGGCAGCGGGGCGGGATGCGCAGGAGGACACGCACATTAACCCCCGCCGCACCGCGCTCCCGCCGAGACACCGGGGCTGCCACCGCCCGAGGGACCCCCCAGCCCCTGAGCCGCTCCAGCCCCGCTGCTTTTCTCAGGGGCTTTTCTCACACCACGCACCGCTGTGCTCGCCGGATGACCCCCCAAAGCAGCAGGCTGCCCGCACCCTCGCCCACYCCATCTTCCCCAAATCCACCTGTTGATGCATCTCCCCCTGGGTAATCGGGACACTTTTGTTGCCCTGTGAGAAGCAGGGTCCTGTCCCCATGTCCTCACCCCATGGGATGGTGTAAGGCTGCTCCAGAGCTTCTCCCTGTCCTGTCCTTCTCCCTGTCCTGTCCCTGCTCCCTGACACTGAGATCCTTGGATCCTTGGGCTTCCCACCCACCACTCACAACAGAGCAGCACCGGCCATCAACAATAAATTTCAGCCAATTTCCTCCTTTGGAGACACCCACAGACCACCATTTATCTCCTCAAACRGCAGCTGAGGGCACCAAGACCTTGGTGACCATCCAGACCCATCTGTGTGTGCCCACAGAAGAAAACAAACCCCACGCTGCCAGTGTTCCTCACACAGTGCCCATTCCAGGGGCTAGAGGAGGAAAATAACCACCAACAAAGGAGTCTGGGCTAATTCAGGACCCCAGCCTCATCCAGAGATCCAAACACAGCTGTTAGAACTGATAGAGAGGTTTTGCAAGGGGTTTTCAGTGATCCCAAGGCCAGTGGGACAGTGGGACTCAGTGACCCCACTAGCCTTGGGCTAGCCCTGCAGAGGTGTGTGTTGGCTCCTGGAACCAGAGAGATGCTCACTGCAGCCTGGATAAATAGGACAGCCAGGGAGCCCAAGGAGGCAGGGACAATAGCAGGGCTGAGTTTTCCATCAGAAAGCTCTTCAGCTGCTGAAAAGTTGGCTTAACCCTGAAGGTTGGGTACTCCCATGCCAGGGATTCTTCGGGGGGAAGGATGGGAGAGGGAGGACATTCCATCTCTTTCCTGGGCTGCTCCCACTCTGGCACAGAGGAGCTGTGTCTGCTGGGAGGGAGGGAGCAGCAGGAGCCGGCACAAACCCCTGGCAGCCCCCACCAGTGAAACCACAGCCACTGCTGAGCCTTGTCCAGCAGCGGGATTAGCTCCAGGGGACATGGATGCTGCAGGGAGCACAGGCTTTGCTGGGGAAAATGGTGTTTACCCCTTGGGATAGAAGCTGTAGTCATAGAGTGTGTGTAGCACAAAGCCTGCCAGAGCCAGAGCAATCCGGGAGAGGGAAGATTTATAGGGGAAAAAAAGCCCGTCTGCCTCACAAAGGGATTCTGAGGAGGCTGGAGAGCCATGGATCCATGAGCAGATGCAAAGGCAGGGGATAAATGGACAGACAGAGCTAAACTGGCAGCTGTAGACAGGTAAGAGGATATGGGGCATCAGGGAGGGGAGAGAGKGGGCTGGGAAATTAATGTGATCTGTGTTTATGTAAGTGGGTAGGGACCCAGCAGCCTGGAATGTCATTGCAGGGGACTGCAGGAGACAGGGCTCAGTCACTCTCATCCCAGAGGCCACTGTGGGCACCAGACAGAGCTACAGGCAGCCAGAGCAGCCTCTCCTGGCCTGCTCTTTGGGCCAGCCCATCACAAATATCTCCCAGTCCCATGAGGGGGCTAACGACCCCTCCCCAATGCCTGCACTGCCGTCAGATGAAGGGAGCGAGATGGGACACGGGCGAGAAAAGGGCAAGGAGAAAAAGAACTTGAAACCCAGGAGGCTGCAAAATCTGCACGGAGCACCAAGTCAGCAGCCACAGAAACAGAGGAGCTTTTGCACCCAGACAGTCTCAGACCTGAGGTTGCACAGGGTGGCTCCAGTTCAGGTCCGTGTCTAAAAATACCGCCGGGCTGAGAAGGACTCAAGGCTGGCACGGGCCCTGGGGGCACCAGGCAGATGGCAGCAGCGGATCCTGCYCCTCACGGTGACGTTAACGAGCCCTGACCTTCTCTCGTCATCCCAAAGGCTCAGGAAGAAACTGAGCCGGCAAGGACGARTCCCTGCACCTCGCCGGCTCTCGCCTCCCAGCCCATTGTCARTCTCGGCTTTTATTAGCGGTGAGGCTCGGCCTCCCTCTCCCTCTGAGATTTCTCCCTGGTTGCTCTAATCAGGAGCTTGCAAATGTCAGGAGAACAGGCCTGGAAGTAATTAGTGAGGGACCAGAGCCCGGCGGCTCAGCCACGGCGCCCGCAGCCGCTGGGACCGACTCAGGGCCACCCTGGCTTTCATTCCCCAGCCTCATTGCTGCTCCCAGATTATTTTTCCTTTCTCCACACAGCTCGGGGCACGCTGAAATGCTCACTGTGCTGCAGGGAGTGAGTCCAGCTCCCTTGGGATTAGTGCAGGGAGGGATGGAGCGACTGCAGTGCCACCGGGACACTGAGCACTTGGCCAGAAAGTGCCACCTCCTCCTCCTCACGCGCTCCCTTTGGGACACTGCCTCTTCCAAAAGAGATCCAAAGAGCATTCCTAACTCCTTTTAAACCTGCCTGGGTAGGGGAATGCTAGGAAGCATGGACAAAGCTGCACCAGCGAGATGTGCTTCACCCCTGGGGCAGCAGCTTCTCCCACAGTGGGCACCACAAACCCTGTCCTTGTCACAGTCATCAGCAGGCAAAGAAAATGAAATCTTAAGGCAAAGATAATGGGAAAGAGCATTTTTTTTTCTAATATTCCCCTTTTCCTGAGGTGAACTCTTCTGTCTCTCAGCCATTCAGCCATGCTCACAACCGAAGGGGTTAATGCTGCACCCAGAAAAGAAAAAACCGACAGAGCTGTAGGGAAGAGCAGTCCTGGGGGACTCTGAGCTTGTTTAATCAAAGAGCAATCCTTGCTCCCAGAGATTCACCCTCCAGCACCAGTGGAAGTGGACTTTCCCCAGATCTCCCTCTGGAAACCACAGACAAGCTTTTTCCAACAGCAGCAGCTCCTCTCTGGTCCCCGGCTGGCAGACAGCTGCCGGTGCTTTCCTTCCAAAATTGGGCTCTTCTAAGGCATCTCCCTCTCCTGGGGCATGGGAAATTTCTAATCCTGAGCATCTTGGCCACCCTACCTGGCCAAGGCATCTGTGACACCTCCGTGGTGAATGTGGAGCTGTGTCTCGGTATCCTGCACCATCCAGATGGCGTCTGGGCTCGGGGCTATAGGATTTTTAACTAATTTCTTTCCACACTATTATCCCCTCCTCCCTTTTCTCCCACCTCCTCTTTCTCTCCCTCCTTCTCTCCATCTGTCCCTATCCCTTTTCTTCTCCACCTTTCTCTTGCACACTTGCAGCTGCTAATTTTTCCCCGGCATATTTGGCAATCCCTCCCGACACCTCTTCCCCCACACCCCGCCACCCCGCTTCGTGCTCTTCCCGTTTGCTGCCGAATATTCTCATTTCTTTCACCCAAAAGAGACAGCACGAGCACGGGCAGGAGGAAGACACTCACACACACCCCGTGTGAAATAGCACAGCAGGGAAAATCGTATCTCAGCTGTCCTGGGATAAAGCTGAGCATCCACCACTTTGTGGGAGCAGGGGATGGCAAAGCATCACCCCTTTTGCAGGGGGAAAGTTTTAGGAATGGGATTTTCAGCTGCACTGACCACTCTCAGGCCACTGACACACCCACAACCTCCTCCTCTGTCACCTCAGCCTCTCCCCAGCAGGATTTWTTTTATCCTGCTTCATTTTTCCAGTTGTTTTATCTTGTTTTATCTTCACACTAAATCAGGCTCTCTCTGCAAACCGAACTTTTATTTTCCRTGCTGTTACATTTAATGCGTTTTATCGCATGAATTTAGCAAAAGGGGAAAAAAAATCCTGCTGAGGTAATTGTGGAAAAAAAAAAGTGAGGTGTTCACATTGATCGTGGTGCTTGAGCTCACYTGGGCAGAAAATCCAGACTGGATTATTTACACCCAACTCAATGCTCAGGTAGCCCCTCCAAGACCATCCTTATTCCCTAAATGCACCCTCAAATCCTTCCCTATTCCATAAAATCCTCCCAAGACCCCACAAACC